AGGTCACATGTCGTCGAATGAAGCGATACAAAACAAAATGGCTGATAATTACCAGTAATGTTCAGGAACTAGTTATAAACGGCTAGACAAATTGACACAGGCAGCACGATCAAAGGCGGCCGAGATTTCTATAAAACAGATTGACTAATAATGAACACGACTTGGTTATCGACGATCTGTCGTGAGAACCTCAGACCGTTACTGCGACTTTTACAACTCCGCCATTGGGCCTTGAAATTGGCGGGAAAATAGAATCCTACCTTTCTATTTTTGTTATATCCGAGGTATTCTGCAAAAAGTGGTCTATGTGGATACCTCAGTCTCGCATATTTCATCTGCCAAGCAGCTTGCTTTGCTAGCTTCTGTTGAAAGGTGAGATATGACAGGATAAAGGACATGAGTCCACCGGAATGGCAGCACATGAGCGTCATATCATAGGATGATATCCTTTTTTTTCGGACTACTCTAATGCTGTTGGTCTTTACAGCTTCACCGGATGATATGCGAGTGCACATAGCACACCAAACCCGCAGAAGGATTCATGGAGCGGCTGAAATCAACTCTCCACGGATACGACTTTATAAGGTGATATCCGTAGTGCACATATATCTGACGGTTACCACTTACCATCAGTTGGGTCGTCAGCTTTTTAGTGATTAAAGTTATATGTTTTTATTTTAATATTAAAATATAACTTGCAAAAATAGGATTTAACAAATTAAAAAAAACAAAGGTTATTTTAATTTTCAATGTTTAATCATACATCTATAATAGAATCGTAAACGAACCAAGTTTTTCAAATAAAATATTTTATCAAAATAATATTTTATGTCATGGTCCAAGCTCGTTCGCTTTATGGCCCCATCGATAACTGCGACTTTTACAACAGATACACTCAAAAGAAATCCACCTATTTTGGATTCGTCACGCAATTTGTCAATCAATTCACCGTCACCGCTCTACAGATCGTCTGTAGTCAATTAAATGTCAATTTCGTTAAAAAAAAGCCTCTTTGCGTTTGCCGACCGCATATTAATTCCTATAAAACTAATTGCGATGACAAATCCATTAATTTAAATTACATCCAACAGGTTATTTGGTGTGAGATGTATTCATATTGCGCAGCACAAGTTTAACTTTTCGACTGTGCGATTTTGTTTTCGTATAGCTTTATATAAAATCATACATTCACGACTGACATTGCAGATGGAGTATTCAGACGTATTGTCAATGGTCGGCGTCATGGTGAATACAATACTTATATGCAGGGGGAAGGGGATTGTTAGCTATGTGGGCTAACTCCGATTGCTTCGTATTCACTGTATGTGTATGTATTCACCCTGTCAGGTAGAAGTCCACGCGGTTCCCCATGGACACCATCGTGGTAAATTGCCCTTTTCCAAGATGGGTTAACTGGCCTGACTTATTTCATTTTATCATCGTTCACTGGTGCCCTGACAGCGTTAGACTGTTAGCACAGGCGGGTGCATCATTCCATTACCAAATACGTATTTATAGCCTAATAAAAAAAATATACATCGGGACAAAGGGCGAGTTCAAGTTTCCTTCAATGAAGATCCATTTAGAATTATTTATAAGTTAATGCACTACACTTTTGATTTGTGTGCCCAACAAGATTTTTAAAATGAACTTGCTAATTTGGATTTATTATTTCTTTCTCAGAATTTTAATATTGTACTTACCTACACTTTACTCAAAAATTGGACATGTAGATATCCACTAAGTCAATCATCCGAATGCTTCCTAACTATCGATACCAATATAGTGTCTGTAATAACGACAAAAAATCGATATAAATCGAAATACATGCAATTAAGTAGCATTCGAGTCATTCCACTCATATCTAACTATCGAATAAGACCATAAAAAAATTATGCATGGATAATGTTTTATTGGTGGATATCTATTATATTAATTATAGTGTTGCTATTCCAACCTTAGTTGTTTTAGAGGTTACGGAAAGTGCTTCGATATTTTTAATCGCCACTGTTGAGGCAAAGGAAATTCAAACACCAATAATATTAAGAGGGAGTTAAATTTTGCTTGGCTTATGTTCACGATGCACCTTTTTTATATGATCTATGTATAACATTTTGTCTACAGACAAATTATATATATACATATATATACATTCTGAAGGTTGTCTATATATATAAGTTTCTCACTTAGAACAATTCTAATTTTTTACTGTGCAATCTCTTCTGTTTAAGAACCATTACACTTGGTTAATTTCTGATTCGTTCTTATAGAGATGCCAACCCTTACGTTACTATATTCATTTCTTTCTTTTATTGTTTCTTGTTACAATACAAGAATAGAATAGAATAGAATAGAATATTTTATTAAAATCGTTCTATTCCGTGGTCCACAGTCATCATCTGCTTCTTCCTTATCCCATTTATTTGGGGTCGGCGTAATATGTTTTTCTCTTCCATTCATCTCTGTTCGCAGTCATTCCGTTATTTACTCCCTTTCTCACCATATCATCTTTCACACAGTCCATCCATCTCTTTTTCGGTCTTCCTCTACCCTTATAACCATCCACATTCATATGTAACACCGTCCTTAGGATATGATCTTCATTCCTACGCATTACATGCCCATACCACGATAGACGATTACTCTTTAACTTCTCTGACATCGGTGCTACTTTCATACTTCCTCTGATGTATTCATTCTTTATCTTGTCTATCCTCGTCACACCACACATCCATCTCAACATTCGCATTTCAGTTGCATGCAGTCGTCTCTCATCCGTCGCCTTTATGGGCCAGCACTCTGATCCATACAAAATAGCAGGCCGGATCATGGTCTTGTAAATTTTGCCCTTAAGTTTAAGGGGAACTCGTGAGTCGCACGTTGTCGCCGTAACCTGCCGCCACTTCATCCAACCTGAGTTAATCCTGTGCTTTATGGTTCGGTCTAATTCGCCATTGCTTTGGAAGAGTGAACCTAAATACCGGAAATCGGAGCAGATCGGTAATGGAACTCCATTTAGTGATATGGCTGCAGAGCCAGAAAGACCGCCAAAGTCGCAAAACATGTATTCCGTTTTGGAATTACTTATCTTTAAGCCACCACTTTCCAGCTTTTGCTGCCATATCGCCAATCTACTCTGTATCTCAGCTCCCTCCTCACCAACGAGCACAATGTCATCTGCAAATAGCATGCACCAGGGTGCCTCTTCTTGTATCTCCGACGTCAAGGCATCCATTTTCAACAAAAAGAGGTACGGGCTTAAAGCCGACCCCTGATGCAAGCCTACAGCCACACTGAACTCGCTGGTATTTCCCGCGGCCGACCGAACGTATGTACGAGGTTGACTGTACATAGCACGAATCAACTCCACATACTTCACTGGCACTCCTCTATCTTTCAGGGCCCACCACAAAACCGGTCTGGGTACTTTATCGTACGCCTTTTCCAGGTCCACAAATACCATGTGCAAGTTCTTGTGAGCACGTCTGTATTTTTCACACAGCTGGCGCAGTGCAAATATGGCATCTGTGGTACTTCGGCCTGGCATAAATCCAAACTGGTTTTGGGTGATACTAGTCTCATCACGCAATCGCTTTTCTATCACTTTCTCCCATACTTTCATACTGTGAGACATGAGCTTTATTCCTCGATAATTATTACAATCCTGTACATCACCCTTATTCTTAAAAATGGGCACTAGTGAACTATTGCACCATTCCTTAGGGATCGCCACTTCCTGCAATAATTTATTAAAGAATAAAGCTAACCACTTGCATCCATCTTCTCCTAATAATTTCCAGACTTCTGCTGGTATGCCATCTGGCCCAACAGCTTTCCCATTCTTCATACTTTTCACTGCTTTCCTTACTTCATCCATACCAATCTCATTTACTACACCGATGTTTACCGAGATATCTTTTGTAGGCTCATCCCACAGATTCTCTTCATTCATAAGTTTTTCAAAATATACCTTCCAACGTGTTTTTATGTCGTCGTCTTTTAACAAAATTTGGCCTGTATCATCTTTTATACATTTCACATGCTTCATATCTTTCGCTCTTTCTTCTCTCATTTTTGTGATCCTGTATAGTTCTTTTTGACCACTGTGGTCATCAAGTGACTTGTATATTCTATCTAATGCCCTTGTTCTGGATATTGCTACTACTTTTTTTGCTTCCTTTTTAAACTTATTATAAATTACCTTTTTCTCTTGTTTCAGACGATCATTCTCTATAGGTACCTTTTGCCAATCTTTAAAAGCATTCTTCTTTTCTTTTAATATCTTTTGCACTTCTTCAGTCCACCACCATGTATCCTTATCTATTATGCCCTTTCCCTTACTTTCTCCAAAGACCTCTTTTCCTACCATTCTAATATAATGTGCTATTTCATCCCAACATTCATTCACTGTTTTTCCATTCATATCTTTCATACTAATCATTTTGCCTACAACTTCATTCTTGAATCTACTTGCATACTCCTTGTTTTCTATCATTCGCCATTTAGTTGTAGGTGGGGGGCGTTTCTTATTTTTATTTATATGTACTTTAATTTTTAGTTCTATTAATAACAATCTATGTTGTGTGACTAAATCTTCTCCTGGTAGCACTTTACAGTCTTTGACAGTCCATAACCTGTTTCGTCTCGTAAGGAAAAAGTCTATTTGTGTTGCATGGTGACCACTTTTATAGGTGATAAGGTGTTCCTCTTTTTTTTTAAACCAAGTGTTTACTATAGCCAGGTCAAATGCTGAAGCAGTTTCTAATAAAGATTCGCCATCCTCGTTTCGTATACCAATCGACCTCCCCCATGAACTCTATCATAGTTTTCATTATGTACGCCTACATGTCCATTAAAATCCCCTCCAACATATACCTCTTCATTTTCTGGAATACCTATCATCAAACCATCAAAATCTTCCCAAAACTTTGCTTTTACGTCTTCATCACTTCCAGTCTGAGGAGCATACACACTAATAATGTTCAGAACCATGCTCTCTACTACTCTCTCTCTACTTTCACAGCTATTATTCTATCACTTATCCTTTTTATATCTATGACACACTTTTTCAGCTCATTATCCAGCACTATTCCAACCCCATTCCTTTTCCTAGCACTTCCTACATAGTAAAATTTATATCCTTCCCCAATCTCTTTAGCTTTCGCTCCTTTCCATTTCGTCTCCTGTATACAGGCTACTTTTATTCTTCGCCTTTTCAATACCTCCGCTAGCTCTCTTCCTCTTCCAGTCATCGAACCTACATTCCAACTACCACACCTCATACATACTTCTCTTATTTTCTGGACTTGCTTCTTATGTTGCACCCGTCCGTTGTGGTGCAACAACCCTTGTCCATTTCTCGCAGTGGCCGGGTGCTGCCCCTGCGCGTCGCCTCGGGGGTACGCCCTAGTCCGATCATCAATTCGTTCACTCAAATTCATATTACGAGAGAATGGTTTTGGCTTCAGTTTTTCTTTTATGACCGGCCGCCTGCCTGACGTCAACCCTCCTTGGGCTTCTTTAAATGATCTTCTCCGGTAGTCCGGTAGCCTCACCTTACTGTAATCTTCTAGGAAGGCTTATTTGGTTTGAAATCAGAGTTTTCCATCTCCTATTTGAACTACCAACCAAGGTTGACGAGGTCCAACTCCCCGGGCATAAGAGCTTTGTTTATAGTGGCGGCCCTAATTCGCCACTGCCATCTGTCATCATGGAGTTTTGCGCGCTATTTATGGAGGTATACCCTGCCATAGGCTCCCCGGCACCTCTCCGACAGACCGCTGCATTGTCCGCGACTGCTTATTGGTTATTCACAGCTAACCTCCATATCTGGGGGCAGTATGAGTGAAAAAAACATAGTGAGATATTGTGAGTATTAAATTTTATTATGAGATGTAATGATTAGAGATATGTATCATTTAAAAACATATATGAATTGAGATGCAAAGATTGGATTTAGAACTAATAGTAATAGACGATTTAATTAAAGAGTTAAATACGAGTGTAAAGTAATTACAGTAAAAATATATGCATTTATAAAAATTGAGTCTAGTAAAGAAACACATGAGGGTGAAGTGGTTATTGCCGTAGTGTTATTTATCTATATAGACGATAGCTTTATATATTTTTAATGTGTTAATAAATATTGACATAAATTCTGATTGACCCACATACTTAACAATTTTAAAATACGCGTCCTACCACAGTTTACATGAAGTTTCAAAATGAATTATAAATCTGCCTCTCGGATTTTAATTAACATTTAACATTTAATTAATTGAGATCGACATTAATTAAAATGTTGACGAAATCGCACTTAATAAACACGTACCCGGATCTTAAAACGTATTTTTCCCAAGTAATGCCAACATGTTGTATGACAATATTTAGATGTATATCTAATTTATAAAAGTCAAAAGGTTTAGTACCTTTTGACTATATATAAAGTAACACGCACTGATTTTACTATTGATAGTTTAAATTGTAAATTCCTAAGCAAATAGAATTAAGTTATATTACATTACTTCTTCATTTTTAAATCGTTTCATATGTATATTACTATATTCATCTTACCTAATGGTAAAATTGTAGTGAGGCCAAAATTATCTGTTTTCGTATTAAGTTTCACGTAAGAACGAATGCAGAAATACTAGGATGATATTTTCCTTAAATATGTTGTTATTTGCGTCAATATATAGGTTAAAGAAATAAAAGAAAACGCGTGAAAAAAATATTTTTGTAAATATTTTTATTACATTAATAGGTACCTACTATTTTATTAATAAATTAATTATGAAATTTGTTTTGTTTTGTCAAATATTATGAACTTTCGCTATATACATAACAAACATATAACAGACTTGTAATGTGCCTATATTGCAATAAGAGTATATAACCTAAGAGATGTTTTAATTCGAGGCCCACCATACGTAACCTTGAGACAAGAGTAAATTACATTTGTTTTTTAGGATTTCTCTCAAATTAGAAAGATTGGTATGTCTTTTAGAAATCGCGTTGTGCAATCCACATGTCGTGTATCAATTAAGTCGGTGTTTCCAAAACTATTAGTAGAAAGTGACGATACTTGACAAACAAGTCAAATTTAGAAACCAATTAATATTGAATTTATGCGAATCTAATTGAAGAGGTTGGAGTATATCACCTCACCCATTGGTACTTGGCTTGTTCTATTTATTCTTTATTGAACATAAATATATCTTTTAAGTATGTTCGTTAGAAATAATGTTAATAAAGGAGGACTTATCTCTAAAAGAGATATCTTCGATTAAACCTAATACAGCATGGCATAGGAAGTGTTGAGTGGGTCAAAATGTGCAAATGATAATTTAATAAACGTGTCATAAAGACATACATACAATAAAACTAAACTTACAAATATAATGTACTTGTATACCTAAACACAAATACCTTTATAATAAATATATAATTAACAACATGTATATTTATTTCAAAATGTTTGATTCTTACCAGGAATGAACCACGATGATTTTAAACGGCAACCTGATGGGTGATGATGATCAATAGAAATTTGTTCACTAATCATCCCCTCAGGGGGAGGGATGGGCATGAATAAAGGTGCATATTCGTAAGCCAATAGCCAATATAGTGCTAGATACTGTGATAGAGATTCTTGTTATTTCAGATCTATACTAATTTACTAATGGTCCAACTAGTACTTTTGTGAAACTAAGTATCATACATTAGTTATTTTATTACTCCATTCTACTATAATGTGTGCTAATTTCATATGTACAAAATCTCTATTTTCGCAGTTACAACCTCAAATTATATAAATTAAGAACAATGCGCGGCTAAACCATCTTTTGTCTAGGTGAAGACGGCTATTGTAGTCATTTACCGGAAAATTACACAGTAAACCGCATTATGTACTTACTTATGTCTACATACGGCTATTGTGTCTCGTACAATAAACTGAGATTGCAGTGCTATTGGACGGGCCGATACTGTACAACAATTACTTCGAGCGACAAAGTCGTCTGACCGTGACGACCGTATGTAACTTGTAATGTCACAGTCTAAAAGTTTGCTATATATCACCGCCACTGTACCTTCATTGGTCGCAATGTTTTGTTCATTGTTTCGATAATCTGTGATTCTTTGAGCGGTTCAAGCAAATTTAAATCTATATGTGCGAGATTTAAATAGTGACTTTTATTAGCAAGTCGTAGGGTCGCTTTTCACTATGTTTTCTTGTGTGTTTTTAGATGCGATGGTTGCAGTCACGGTTGTTGATCATATGTTGCTTCATCGTCGTGTCCGAAGTTGCAATAGCTGTCGTAGATAACGCTATGTGATGATTACACTGATATGTGTAACGGAGTCTTTACGTGGCGTGACTCTTGAACAATCGTTTTTATGAATTTATTATTTTTTTTTAATTAGTGCATAACGATGTCAAGCTCCGGTGCCTGACAAATATATATACTTTAAAGATGTATGAGTAATTATAGTGTACGCATATTTCCATTGCGAAATGAAGGTGCTAAATAACGTAAAGCACTTCGATTAGTAGTATAACTACTAAAAGGTTCAGATTAAAAAAAACTATATATTTTATTATTTTATAACATGTTAGGCGTATTAATGAACTACTAATAAATCAATTAAAGCAATTAATGGCAAATAAATAAATAGTCATATATATATATAGGTAATTTACTTTGATCACCTAATGATGGCTAACAGAAAACTTTAAATAAAATTTAGAGTTAAAAATTAATTTAAATAAAGTTCGGTACTTATATTATTGATATATGTATGTATATCTTTTTGAATCGAGAAATCACATATTAATTGTATCATTATTTCTTTAACTGTAAATTAAAGGACTATTCCCACTTAAATTTAATTGAAATACTTTACTTTCTATAATTATAGTTAGTAATATTATAGAATGTAAAGTATGTATTATTTATTGTAATTGTTAAATTAAAAATAACTTAACCAAGATTAAGAAGTATCTATATAAACCTATATTTAATATCTACGAGTAACACGTAATTTTCTTAATCTTATTTAATAACTATGTAGTCACTCATCCAGTGCCGCGGGATTCATATTAAATAAGAGAGTTATTAAATAAGATTAAGTAAATTCCGAATTGACATACCGCAACGTCAAATCAACTTTACAAGAATGTTATCCTCCCACAAATCCGCAAAATCCTATCAATCTCACCACAAAGGGAGGAATTTGTCAAAAAAACGACCTCGTCTCGCCCCGAGGCAGGAAAGTAAAAAATCATTATGTTGTTATTATGCAAATGGTGGCCATTGCCGAGGGGACGCTGGCGGCCCAGTGGACTTAGGAGACAGTTGGTTCACATGTCCACCGTGAACAGTTTACAAATTTGACTATAAATACGCTTTAGGAAAAAAAATGTGTTTATACATACATATTAGTCCATACTAGGTTATTGTACACATGCAATAACCTAGTATGGACAAATCTGCAGTTGGAACAGTGTTCCCTATTATGACAATAATGTATTCCAGTTCATAAATAAGATTCTTGTACATTTTTGCCAAGAACGTTTCAATTAACTTAAGTATACGAATATATTACTTCATTACAGTTAAGTACTCAGTGTAATAATATATTAGCAATTTACACAAATAAAATTACATATTTTCATTTACATATAATTAAATTGACGTTAAAGAATAATAAGGTTTCTTATGTATTGGCAAAGCGCACGTAACACATTTGGTGTCACAAGCGTTCAACGCAGTAACCGTTTACCATCAGATGAACCGTAAGCTTGTTTGTCACTATCATAGTATAAATAAAAATTCTAAAAATTTTTTTCTATAAAATAGGAATGAATGCATAGAAAAAGACATATTGCGCCTCAAAGTATTGGGTTAAAGGAAAGTCAATAACAAAAACTAAATAGCAAGGAAATATCTTACTAATATTATAAACGCAAAGTTTGTGAGTATGGATGTTTGTTACTCTCACGCAAAAACTACTGAATGGCTGATGAAACTTTACAATAATATAGCTCATACATTATAATAACATGTAGGCGATAATTTAATAAGATGTTATGTAAATTGGGCGAAATATATATAAATGTCAAGTAAGTGTGATGCAGATGAAGTTGCGCTGTACAGCTAGTATAATATATTTTAATTTATGTTATGAAATAAAATACTTAACATCTGTTTTATTAATGTAACTTACGCAGTCAACATGTGACTTGCAGTTAGACATCTCGACGTGATAATAATAACATCAAGGTAGTACCTGAACAATTTAGAAGCGTTTTAACTTAAACACTTTACATGTAAGTAACGAATGAGGAACTCATTCATAAATGCATTAAAATTCGTTTTAGGTTATGAAAAAGTCTATACATATATCCTTGATAAATGCATTTATAATATCCGGGTGATGT